CAAAATAGTTCTCCAAACCATGCTGAAAAGGTACACTTTAGAGTTCCAAGGCCAGGCGCAGTGGCTTATGCCTGTAATCCTAGCACTTTGGGAGACTGAGGGGAAGGATTGCCTGAGCCCGTGAGTTCAAGACCAGGCTGGCCAACATAGGGAGACCTCTCTCTACAAAAAAATCCAAAAATTAGCTGGGTGCAGTGGTACACGCCTGTGGCCCTAGCTATTCAGGAGGCTTAGGTGGGAGGATTGCTTGAGCCCAAGAGTTAGAAGCTGCAGTGAGTTATGCTCCAGCCACTGCACTCAGCCTTGGTGACTACTCTGTTTCAAAAAAAAAAAAAAAAAAAAAAGAGTTCTACATTCATCACAAAACACTCATTTGCATTTGTCTTTTTGTCCTTTGAGCCTTATTTTTTTTTAAAGACAGGGTCTCACTGTATTACCCAGGCTGGCCTTGACCTGGGCTCAAACATCACGCCCAGCTACTTTATTTACTCTCAAATACTCTCCTATCCAACTGGCTACTTTCTTTTTCTTTTTCTTTTTTTTGAGATAAGGTCTCTGTCACCCAGGCTGGAGTACAGTAGTGTGATCTCGGCTCTGCACTCCCATCTCAGCCTCTCAAGTAGCTGGGACTACAGGCGTACAACACCATGCCTGGCTAACTGGCTACTTTTTATTTCCATAGACTTTATGGCACTAGGCCTTGTAGAAAAATATTAAGGTGTTAGTGTGTGGTGTGCTTTTTGAAAAAATGCTCACCAAGGTTAGAAAAACACTGGTGGTTTATTGGCAAAATCAATCTGTCAGCAGTTGATTCTTTTTTTTTTTCCTCTGAATTAGCCCTCTTAGAAGTAATCTGTTTGCTGATTCATTATAATTTCATACCTCTAAAACTGTGTGTGACAGCTGTAAAGGTTAATTCCAGTATCATGAAACGTCTCCAGACTGAAGCAAAAGTGCATCAAGATCCTGATTTGTGTGTTTTTTTCTTCACTCTCGGTTTCCCTTTTATGCTTACTATTCATGCCCATCACTGGAAAGTCACTTGGCCTCCTGAACAGCACTAACTCCAAACTTTACTTCTTTTTTTTTTTTTTTTTTGGCAGAGATGCAGAAGATGCTATTTATGGAAGAAATGGTTATGATTATGGCCAGTGTCGGCTTCGTGTGGAGTTCCCCAGGACTTATGGAGGTCGGGGTGGGTGGCCCCGTGGTGGGAGGAATGGGCCTCCTACAAGAAGATCTGATTTCCGAGTTCTTGTTTCAGGTATGTTCCTTTCAAACAGAATGAGATGATACATGTAAAATACTACTTAACACAGAGTCTATCTTCCAAGAAATGATAACTGTTATTCTTCAGTGCATGGGACACTGGGGCTTTCTTTTCAATAGCCTGTGTGCAGTGCCAGTCTGAAGCCCTGCCCTGGATTGCCAATGAGGCAAGTATCCTGCAAATGAAATTGCACTGGGAGTGCAGCCTTGGAAGAACATAAACATACTTCTTGTAAAGGAGTTTTCTAGTGGTGAGAAGGGAAGATAATGGGAAAACCCCTTGAGCTACAATTCTAAAGACTCTTCTTTTGGAATATACTTGGCATCAGACATGGTAGAAAGGCATTCCAGGAGCCAGATTTGAACAACTTACCCAGCCTCGGATCTTGAAGAAGATCAGATTTTGTGGTGGTTTTAGAATTATATTTTTTAAAACCCCATAACTTGGAGTCTTAGCGATTTTATTGGAAAGTATAGATTATTTCTGTCTAGCGTTTATAAGTGATGAAATGCTAAACTGGGAGGTTTATCTGTCTTCAAAATATTAACACACTGGAAAGACCTGGGGCCTTCTGCGTATTGCATGGGAGTTTTAGGGCCCTGGTGGAATGAAGTATATCGAGGAGCGTGGCACCTTTTTAAGATGTGAATGTCACACAATCACAGCATACTCCTATGTGCTTAAATAGTGATACTTTCAGTATCTGCCTACCTTGTGTCCCTTTGTAATTTTTTAACCCCAGAACTCTATTCCCTCCTTCAGGATGTCATACATTATCTTTTTTTCTCTCCATGCTGCTCTGAAATCCTGCTTAGAAAACTATTAGGAAATGGCTGCAGTCCTGAGCTGTGAGCGGTAAACACAGCCTTTGAGAGCAGGAGCACATTTCCCTTTCATGACATCAGGTAGGGTTGTATGACTCCCGACTAGTTTTAGCATCTGAGTCTTACCTTCCCCCCCACTGTATTGAAGAATGTTGGTGATCTTTTAAGAGGTACTCTGTATAGTTTGTCATTCACACCTATAAGAAAACAAACTAGATTTTTTGTTGTTGTATTGTTACCTTCAGCTACTCTTTGGTTATTTCATTGTCTGGTTTCAAAAGTCCCATGTCCTGTGAAACCCTGTCAAGCAATAAATAATTGGTACTGTTAAATTTCGTAATGGAAAAAGTTGGAACTCAAAGTATTAGGAGTTTGGCATTGATTTTAAAGGACAAAGAAAGAGGCTATGAACTCTCAGAGATACTATACCTGTAATGGGATGGACTTCTTGCTCTATTGAAAAGGTCTGGTCTCTGGAAGATGGGCTTAAAACCAGTTTCTCAGGGTGGTTTATTTACCACATGTACTTCAGTGCTTTTTTCTGACTTCATGTCCCTTATCAAGGTTTATGATTTGGGGACCCTCAGGATTTAAGTGATCATGGAGAAGGGACCGTAGGTATTGCTGGCTCTTAACAGGGCAGTTAACATAGCTGAAGGATGTGGGCTTTCTTATGTTCTCCATGCCTAGGACTTCCTCCATCAGGCAGCTGGCAGGACCTGAAGGATCACATGCGAGAAGCTGGGGATGTCTGTTATGCTGATGTGCAGAAGGATGGAGTGGGGATGGTCGAGTATCTCAGAAAAGAAGATATGGAATATGCCCTGCGTAAACTGGATGACACCAAATTCCGCTCTCATGAGGTGGGTCCTTGCCTTCTGTTGAGGAGCTTGTACTCAAATCACACCACTTGAACCTGACCTAGCAGAGGTAGCAAGAGGCCATGCCATTTGGTAACCTCACAGTACCATAAGAGATCTATTTTAGGTGGACAAAGCCATGGAATTTGCTATGCCTAAGTCCTTCAGGGTCATAGCTGAGAGCAGTATGCATTCATGGTATGTTTGTTTTTTAATATGCTTTATTCTGCGTATTAGTATCACATAACACAGTTTGGTCATGGTATTTGTAACCTGGAGAGAATACTAGTGCAGTTGGTCTTGATATCACCCCATTCACAACCAGCTTAAATGGCAGTATCCCTCTGTGAACTCAGCTGCCCCTTCTGTGGATCTAGGCTGAGCTCTTCATCTCAGCCCTTCTAGGTCCTGCTGTCAGGGCTGAGCTGTCACTTCACTTTTTTCCCAGAGTAGTGCAGGATCCTCTCTGAAACCTGAGCTATCGTGACATTTTCTTTTTTAATTTTATAATTTTTATATTTCTCTAATTTTTGATTTTAGAGACAGAGTCTCATATTGCCCAGGCTGACCTTGAACTCCTGGGCCCACGCAGCCCTCCCACCTCAGCCTCTCCAGTAGTTGGGACTGCAGGCATGCACCACTGTGCCAGGCTAAACCGTGACATTTTCTTGTGGTTAATTATCTCACCCTTGAGACTCAGTAGTTCTTGATGTCCTTCCTTGTAGGAAAGCAGCTGCTGTTTTGGATCTCAGTTTGACTGAAGTGGTGACTATCCCTTTGGTGCCACTGAGACCAGAAACCAGACCACCAGTTGGACATTTTTTCTGGTTATTCTGTCCTGCCTTACTATGAGATTTACAGATGTTTGGGGACACAGGTCTCTGGGCTCATTTCTTTTTCTGAGGATTCATATAATTCCCTAGTTTTTGGCTTAGAGGTTGGTCCTTCCATAGTTTAATGATGCTTTTGTTCAGACTGTCCTCTAGGACTTGAATTTGGAGCAGAAACAGAACAGCACTTGATCCTCAGTTATACTGCAAAGCAGCGCCTCAGAAAGGGTAACTCCAATTACTGACTTTCACCTAAGGTGAAAAAGCATCCGGGTTCTTTCCCCTTGGCATCTTAGGATCTTCCGAGAATGCTGGCTGAAGGCAGAGGGCCTGGGGACAAGTCAGCCTGGACATGACTCCTTTGCTGCTTATTAATTCCTTACCTTAACTACTCTTGGAACCTTGATTCCTTCATGGGCAAAATGGTCACATAATAGCACCTTCACAAGCCCTGTCAGGAATCTAGAGCAAGAGGATAACATCTAAAGCATCTAGCTCAGGTCCTCAAATCTGGAAGGTATTAAATACAGGTTAGCTCCTTCCATAGATGCCCATCCAAAGATGCTTATGTGAGGTGGCAGGGGATTAAACTATATGACCCCTGAGATCCTTTCCAGTTCTTAGCTTTGAAGGGGGTCAATGGCAGTAATTCAGATATATTGTTTATAATAGTTAATTGAGTATCAGCATGTGAAATTGGCATTTATTGTGTTACCTTGGGCAAATGATATAATTTAAGTCTTAATTTTTTCATTCTTGAAGTGGGATAGTAAGAGTACCTACCTCATAATGTTATGAGGGTTTAATGAGATAGCCTAATGCCAGGTAGAGTATACAGTAAGTGCTCAATATTTAACTATTATTGTTAGATGTTGGTTTGCTTATTCTTCTGGCTCTGATTTTTTTCCCCCATTACTCTTTTTGGTTTTGTTTGCATTTCAGGGTGAAACTTCCTACATCCGAGTTTATCCTGAGAGAAGCACCAGCTATGGCTACTCACGGTCTCGGTCTGGGTCAAGGGGCCGTGACTCTCCATACCAAAGCAGGGGTTCCCCACACTACTTCTCTCCTTTCAGGCCCTACTGAGACAGGTGATGGGAATTTTTTCTTTATTTTTTAGGTTAACTGAGCTGCTTTGTGCTCAGAATCTACATTCCAGATTGAGGATTTAGTGTCTTAGGAAATTTTTTTAATTTTTTTTTTTTTAAAAGAAGAAAAAAAAAACTACATAATTTCTACCAGGGCCATATTAGCAGTGAAACATTTTAAACTGCAGAAATTGTGGTTTTGGTTCAGAAACAAGTTGTATATTTTTCACCCCTGATTATGGGAAAAAAATCAGTTCTGTCTTTGTGGGTTGCTCTACTATGGAGATCAACAGTTACTGTGACTGAGTCGGCCCATTCTGTTTAGAAATATATTTTAAACGTTTAGTAATTGACATGTGTGGTTGTCCTTGATTAAGTACACAGATTTCACAAAATAGGCACACTAATTTTAAAAATCACTGAGTTGTAATCATAACTTGTACCCAGTTAGTAAGGAGCAGGGGTAGATAACTTTATTTATATGGGGATAGATAGTTGCTGATACTGGTTTGAGAATGTAAACTCGAAGAGCAGGTTCTGGGTTCTCTTTTAATTCAAGGCCAAGCTTGTAAATTAGGCTGCCTTAAAGAAGAAAAAAGCATTGCAGATAAAGGAAGGGAATGGGAAAAATAAACACACAGTGGCTTATGCCTGTGATCCCAGCACTTTGGGAGGCCAGGGCATGCCGGAGGATCCCTTGAGGCCAGGAGTTCAAGACCAGAGAGGCAACATAGCAAGACCCCATCTCTACTTAAAAAAACAATTAACTGGACGTGGTGATGCACATACGTAGTCCCAGTTACTTAGGAGGCTGAGGCGGGAGGATCACTTGAGCCCAGGAGGCTGCAAGTTATCTGTGATCACACCACTGCACTCCAGCCTGGGTGACCGAGTGAGGCCCTGTCTCAGAAAACTAAAAAAATGACAAGCAATGTAAATACTATTGGCAAATTCTTAGCCAAAACCAACTTTGGCAGTTTGGTTAGAGGAAAAACTCTCTGATTCTATCACTTTTATCCCTAAATAAGTTTCATTTATCCTTGGTATCCTGAGTTTTATCTTGGACTTATCTCAATTTAATAATCATTTTGGGGGTGGAGAGGGCTCCTTTTTCCAAACCCAGGGCTAATTTTAGGATAAGTTCTCTTTTCAGAAAGAAACACTACGTATGACTAGTATCCCTTTGGCATATAATCACTTTGTGGGATGGCAGATAGTGCTAGATTAGGAGTTCCCAAGCTCTAGTCTACTTTGAACACTCTTCAGACCTTAGTAGGAAGTTAGCCCTTTTCTAGGAAGAGAGTGGGAGCCCAAGAACAAATTCAGGTATGTTTGGTAAAAATAGGGCTGCTCAAATCACTGCAGATAGGCAACTAAAAATGACAGCCAGGGTTGTCATATAGTGATCAAGATGCTCCATCTACCAGTTACGTAGATAGAAGACACTTTCATGCAGTTGGAACAGTCCTTTGGGGGGAGTTAAAGGCAGATAAATAATGTCTTCCATACTGAACAGTCTTGTTAAGTGAATTCCCTGGAAGCTGACTTTTGCTTTCCTTTCACCTCAGTTAGCATCAGGAACTCATTTTTGGGGCCAGATGTTTCCCAATTGTGTCTTCAGAAGAATCTGTTAAGAAATGCTTGAGCATCCATTTTTTCAGGTGACTGAAAAAAGCAGGAACATTAGTGTTCACAGTAAGAAAATACTGTCATTGTGCTTCCACATGGTCACAGAGTACCCGCTTTCCAGAATGAGCTACTCAGCTGTGTGGGAATGGCTCTTGTTCATCCAGCTTTGGCAAAGAGATATTACCTGTTTGAAAATAACAAAAGAGAATGTGATAGCTGAGCCTGCCGCCTGGCTGGCTTTACTGAGCTAACTGATCACTTAGTTTCTCATGGAAAATACGGAAGTAAATATAGCTACTACCCTGTTTTCCTAACTCGGAGTATCTGAAAGAATCAGTTCTAAGTGAAGCCAAATTCACCTTTTTCAGTAAGGAGTAGACAGGTTGATTAGCCACTAATATGCAGATAGGAGTAGAAGGAAAGACTGACCATGACCATGAACTCAGGTGGTCCCAAGAAGTCTGAAGTAAGGTTCTGTGTGGGAGACAGCATGTCTGATCAATAGATATGTCTGCTGAAGCCACAACTATCAGGCTCTGATATGGAGAGTCTCCTTTCTCTCCACAGTTAACAGGTGATTTAGTGGATTGGAGGCATGATAAAAGTAGCTCATGGCCAGGCACGGTGGCTCACACCTGTAATCCCAGCACTTTGAGAGGCCGAGGCAGGCAGCTCACGGGTTCAGGAGATCGAGACCATCCTGGCTAATACGGTGAAACCCCATCTCTACTAAAAATACGAAAAATTAGCTGGGTGTGGTGGTGAGCACCTGTAGTCCCAGCTACTCGGGAGGCTGAGGCAGGAGAATGGCATGAACCTGGGAGGCGGAGCTTGCAGTGAGCCAAGATCGTACCACTGCACTCCAGCCTGGGCAACAGAGCGAGACTCTGTCTCAAAAAAAAAAAAAAAAAAAGTTTAGCTCACACATTTTCTAGCTGTCTTTCCCATCCTTGCTTCAACCAGAGCCTGCCTTTAACTGGCACCTTGAGTTGACCAGGGCCAATGTCTTATGTGGAGTCTGCTCAGAATGATTCTCCCTCGGGATATGCTGAACTGGAAGTTGGCACTTAGCAGTCTACCTGACTGCTTTTGGCTAGTCCCACTCCCAAAGGCCCAGAGGGGTAGTACAACTCCAGTACTCACTTACCTGCAGAGGAGATAAAAACAGTCAACCTATCCAAGGTTCTGGATTTTACTGTCAGCCCAGAGTAATGTTAAAGCTTCTATTTAAAATATTTACAGTAGGTAGATGATGCAAATCTCTACACCAGCAGTTGTAAACTGATGGCGCTCAGACTGCACCAGGCTTGCAGGTGTGTTTTATTTGGCTTGGATGGTGAATTTGGCTTGAATTGGTTGCCAGCACTTAAAATTTAAGAAATATCAGTGGGATGCAGTCGCTCACCCCTGTAATCCCAGCACTTTGGGAGGCTGAGGCGGGTGGATCACGAGGTCAAGAGTTCAAGACTAGCCTGGCCAAGATGGCAAAATCCCGTCTACTAAAAATACAAAAAAATTAGCCAGGCATGGTGGCAGGCACTTGTAATCCCAGCTACCAGGCAGGCTGAGGCAGAGAATTGCTTGAACCTGGGAGGCAAAGGTTGCAGTGAGCCAAGATTGCACTAAAGCCTGGGTGACCAAGCGAGACTCCGTCTCAAAAAAAAAAAAAAAAAAAGAAAAAGAAAAAGAAATATCACACAAAATGCCAGGTATCCAGGTTCTCTGGAGAAATGGGTTTACATTCCTGCCTGGCACCACTGATAGGGTAGCAGCCATGCTCCTCCTGCTTTGAGTGGGCACAGACTGAGTGCAGACCCTAATGGCATTTGAATCATGTCATAGAGGGGCAAAGATATGACAGAAACATCTGGGCTAAGGCCGCACAAAAGATTCCTTTTGGGAGACTGAGGTGGGTGGATCACCTGAGGTCGGGAGATCGAGATAATCCTGGCTAACATGGTGAACCCTGCCTCTACTACAAATACAAAAAATTAGCCAGGCGTGGTGGTGCATGCCTGTAATCCCAGCTACTCGGGAGCCTGAGGCAGGAGAATCGCTTGAACCTGGGAGGCGGAGGTTGTGGTGAGCCGAGATTGTACCATTGCACTCCAGCCTGGACAACAAGAGCGAAATTCCATCTCAAAAAAAAAAAAGGATTCTTTTAGGAAAGTACTGGTTATTTTGTGGCACCCAGCCCAAAGCTAGACCTAACAAATATTTATTCATGGTATGAATACTAGAAAGTTGGAGCCGATTACAGGATCTGGCATTGTCTTAACTGTGGCTTTGAGAAACAGAATGTCAGCTGCTCCTTTAGGCAGATCTTGAGCTCCAGATTTCCATCCACTCTAAACCTTTACCCCACTGCCCCCCAATCCTGTTTTGCTTATTCCTGTTACTAACTGCCCCCTAGAGGTATGACCCTGGACCCTACCGCCACCTTAATGTCACCATCTGTATGCGCTTTATCCTTTTCAAAGTGCCTTCACATAGCATCTTTGGTCCTCACGCTTCCTGCTTCATTCCTATGGTCACTGTTAAACCACTCTGGGCAACACCTACCTGGGGGGGCCACAAAATACTCCTCCACGACTCGATGGGAGTTTTGTAGTAATTCATCAGCACAATTGCCTTCTACCACATTGTCGGATCTCAGGTATAGACATCTACAAAACCCAGAAGCTCAAGGTTACCCTCTCAGAGAAGGGGGCTTTTAGGGGATGGTGGAAGGGGCAAGAAGGAGAGAACAAGGAAGCGGTATATTCTTGAGTTAATGGGCACTGTTCAAAGATAGAGAAGCTGGGATCAACGGTAGACCAAATAACAGCCTACAGTTTATAGATTGTCCCAACAACCCTGAGAAGTAAGTGCTAATCACTTCTCTGGACTGATTTAACAAATAGTTTTTGATGATTATATGGGAACTGTCTTTTGGTGGGGACAGGTAAAAGCAATTATAAAATAATATTTTAAATCTGACAGAAGTTAGCACAGCCTGCCAAAGGATGGAAAGGGTACCTAGTCTAGCCTGGGTGAGTAGCACATCCTCAGAATAGCTGGATTGGGGGATGAAGGTATGAGAAATGGACTTCCTGGCAGGTATAGCAGCATGAATCCCAAAGCAAGAGAACCCAGAGCTCAGATTCAGAGAAGGACAAGGAGTTCAGCAGGCTGGGGGGTGGTCTGCTGGGGTGGAAGATGAAGCTAGAAACCTAAGCAGAGATGGGGAAGCAAACTTGCCTCAAGAGTGACTTAAGGATGTTGGCTCCTAAGTAACAGAACTGGGATCTGAGCCCAATCTGGTACCCCTAAGATGAATGCTTTTTCCACCACAGCCCCTTTGGTGGATGGGTGCAGCTGCCCTTGAGCAAGACATGTCACAAACAGCTCATGAATCTCCCAGTGTTCTATGGGACCTAGTGAGTTTACTAAAGCCTTCAGATGGCAAACTGGTAAAAAACACACAGGAGCTTGAACATATGCATCAGGCTTCACTATTGTTTCAAGGTGTAAAAGTGTGTAAGCCTGCTTCCAGATACTTGGACTAAAAAAACAAGCAGTTTGTTATATCACTGATAGAGTATTCAGTAGTAGCTATGCTCCTGCTTTGAGTGGGCACAGACTGAGGGCAGACCCTAATGGCATTTGAGTCATGTCATAGAGGGACAAAGATGTGACAGGAACATCTGGGCTAAGGCTACACCTAAAAACTAAGTTGTCAGCCGGGCACGGTGTCTCACACCTGTAATCCCAGCACTTTGGGAGGCTGAGGCGGGCGGATCACGAGGTCAGGAGATCGAGACCATCCTGGCTAACATGGTGAAGCCCCGTCTCTACTAAGAATTACAAAAAAATTAGCCAGGCCTGGTGTCGGGCGCCTGTAGTCCTAGTTACTGGGGAGGCTGAGGCAGGAAAATGGCGTGAACCCAGGAGGCGAAGCTTGCAGTGAGTCAAGATCGCGCCACTGCACCACTCCAGCCTGGGCGACAGAGCAAGACTCCGCCTAAAAAACAAACAAACAAACAAACAAACAAAAAAACTAAGTTGTCACAATAAGATTATTTTAGGAAAGGACTACTTTTTTTGTGTGGCACCCAGCCCAAAGCTAGACACAACAAATATTTATTCATGGTATGAATACTAGAAAGTTGAAGTCTGTTATACGACCTGGCATGAGGGACAAAGATGTGACAGGAACATCTGGGCTAAGGCTGCACGTAAGAACTAAGTTGTCGGCCAGACGCAGTGTCTTAGGCCTGTAATCCCAGCACTTTGGGAGGCTGAGGCGGGTGGTTCAAGGCCACTGTGTAGCCTTGAACAAGTATGATCTTTTCAGACATTAAATTTCTTGGGCGGCAGGCAGGAGAAAAAAAGAGGTCGGGTGCGGTGGCTCCCACATGTAATCCCAGCACTGTGGGAGGCTGAGGCGGGTGGATCACCTGAGTTCAGGAGTTCAAGACCAGTCTGGGCAACATGGGGAAACCTCGTCTCTACTAAAAATACAAAAATTAGCCAGGCATGGTGGCACGCACGTGTAATCCCAGCTACTCGGGAGGCTGAGGCAGAAGAATTGCCTGAACCCAGGAGGCGGAGGTTGCAGTGAGCCGAGATGGTGCCACTGCACTGCGGCCTGGGCGACAGAGCAAGAAGGAAAAAAAAAACTACAGGCACAGTGGCTCAAGCCTGTGATCCCAGCACTTTGGGAGGCCAAAGTGGGTGGATCACCTGAGGTCAGGAGTTTGAGACCATCCAATATGGTGAAACCCTGTCTCTACTAAAAATACAAAAGTTAATCGGGCATGGTGGTACATACCTGTAATCCCAGCTACCCGAGAGACTGAGGCACAAGAATCACTTGAATGTGGGAAGCAGAGTTTGTAGTGAGCGGAGATTACACCATTGCACTCCAACCTGGGTGACAGAGTGAGACAGTGTCTCTCTCACACACACAAGAGTTGCACTAGATTTGTTTTTTTTTTTTTGGTAATAACACAAGGACTGTGTATTCATTTAAGAAAACTTGGGAGAACAAAAGTAAAATCAAAATCATAATTATACCATTCAAAGGCAACCCTTGGACTTTCTGGAGTTTATAGTTTCTGTTGGACAGTATTAAAAAATGGCTAAGAGGCCGGGCACAGTGGCTCATGCCTGTAATCCCAGCACTTTGGGAGGCCAAGACGGGCAGATCACGAGGTCAGGAGATCGAGACCATCCTGGCTAACAGGGTGAAGCCCCATCTCTACTAAAAACACACACAAAAATATTAGCCAGGCGTGGTGGCGGGTACCTGTAGCGAGAGGCTGAGGCAGGAGAACAGTGTGAACCCTGGAGGTGGAGCTTGCAGTGAGCGGAGATCATGCCACTGCACTCCAGCCTGGGTGACAGAGCGAGACTCCGTCTTTAAAAAAAAAAAAAAAAAAAAAAAAAGGCTAGGAGCTTAGTCTTTCGAGTCACAGCTGAATTCAGATCCCAATGCTACACATTACTTATCCTCTCTCTCAGTTTCCTTGTTTGTTGAATGCTTCATAGGATTTCTGGGAAGATTAAATGAAATGTAAAAAAACAAGATCTGATAATGCTGAGCCTGCATTCACGGTAGTAAGAGAGGGGTCTGAGTAGCACCTGCTCCTTTGAGAAAGCCTTAGTGCACCCTGTACATCTCAGTCCCTACCACTCAGTGCACTCGTGATCAGGCATAACCTGCCTGACATTTGAAGGTTTGGGGAAGACTCTTTACTACCACCAACAGGCGGTTAAATGCTACTGCTTCCCCAAGAGTAGATCTAATAGCAACTAATTTATTTACTCATCATCAAGCAATCAATTTGGTAATTAAGTTTCCTGCATAAGTGAAATTTCCAGGAAAACAAAAGTCACCCCTTTACATATCACACATTTCTATTTAGTTATTGGTTATGATGGAATTGTTCCTAAAATAGACACATTTTCTGGGGTTGGCTGGTTTTTTTTTTTTTAACCTTTTTTTTTGTTTTTGAGACAGGGTCTTGCTGTGTTGCCTAGGCTGGTCTCAAACTTCTGGGCTCAAGTGGTCCTCCCGCCTTAGCTTCCCAAGTAGCTGGGATTACAGGTGTATACTACGATGCCTAGCTTTATTTTCTTAATTACAGGCTCCTGAACCCACAGTCTCTGTGACAGTGGTACAGCAAGCATACCTCTCACTTGGCGAGTTGCTGCACTTTCTTGAACCTCAGAATTGTATAAAACACTGAACAGGACCAGATGAGCTTTTCAGATCAATTACTGATTGACTAAACTTCTACCTCACCTCCTGTCTTTCCCAATCAGGTTCTGTAAGATAAGTTAGTCCACATACCCTAAGACACCCATTCTGATGATAAATTAACTTCTATGTGTTTGAGCTAACATTTGTCATACACTGTCCTTGGGAGAACTGAAAAAAAGTCACTTGAATCTTTCTGTGTTCTGGTTTGGCTGAGGAACCCTAGTTGAGAAAGACTTCAGTTGTAAACTAGAAGTCCCTGCTGGTTAAAACTCAGGAACAGTAACTTAAGTAACTGTGGGAAATGCTGCTACAATGGCATTGGAAAGTGCTGTGTCAACAGGGAGGACAAAGTGGCTCCATTTGTGATTCCGTCAGCCCTTGGACTCACTGATGGGACAGTTCTCCCACTGCTTTTCTTTCTTTGAGCTTCTTTCCTGCTATCTGGCTGGAAGGAATAGCTTCTTGTGGACCCGTCTACTTCCATCTAAAAGCCTTTTCCCTTCCTCCTACTTTATTTCTAGTTTGATGCAGACTGGAATGGGGGCTAATTAATTTGGTTAAAAGTTCTGAGCCAGGCAAGGTGGCTCACATCTATATTCCCAACACTTCGGGAGGCTGAGGGGGATGGATTGCTTGAGCCCAGGAGTTCGAGACCAACCTGGGAAACATGGCAAAACCCCATGTCCCCTAAAAAATGCAAAAGTTAGCTATGGGTGGTGGCATGTGCCTATAGTCTCAGCTACTTGGGAGGCTGAGGTGGGAGGATCACCTGAGTTCAGGAGGTGGAGGCTGCAGTGAGCCAAGATTGTGCTACTGCACTGCAGCCTGGGCAACAGAATGAGAAAAAAAAATTCTGGGTTCAGGCCAGGCATGATGGTTCATGCCTATAATCCCAACACTTTGGGAGGCTGAGGCAGGAGGATCACTTGAGCCCAGGAGTTTGAGACCAGCTTCGGCAACACAGCAAGACCCTGTCTCCACCAAAAAAAAAGAAAAAAATTAGCTGGGCATAATGGTGCACACCTGTAGTCCCAGCTACTTGAGAGGCTGAGACAGGAGGATGGCTTGAGCCCAAGAGTTTGAAGTTTTTGGTTCATAAGACTCTGAGGGATATTTAAGTATTTGGCTGCACTCAGAGTTGCTGTCAACTCATTCTCTGGATTTCAGATGAAAGAAAATAAAGTTCCTAGGAATTGACTTTAGCTGGCATATCTTAGAGCAGTATTTGGCAGCAGAATCTCTGAGTTCCAAATCCTCTGCTTATTACCTGTGAAACTTTGGGCACATTATATAAACTTTCTGAACCTCAGTTTTTTCCATCTATAAAACAGATAACTTGTATTGACCTTCGAGGACTGCATGTGAAAACTGAAATAATTTAGGCCAGGCATGGTGGCTCGTGCCTATAATCCCAGCACTTTGGGAGGCCAAGGTGGGAGGATCACCTGAGGTCAGGAGTTCGAGACCAGCCTGACCAATATGATGAAACCCCATCTCTACTAAAAATACAAAAATTAGCTGGGCATTGTGGGCACCTGTAGTCCCAGCTACTTGGGAGGCTGAAACAGGAGAATTGCTTCAACCTGGGAGGCAGAGGTTGCAGTGAGCTGAGATCGTGCCACTGCACTCCAGCCTGGGCAACAGAGTGAGACTCCAGCTCAAAAAAAAAAAAAAAAATTATGTAATTTCTTAGCCCCTGGCACGTAAGCACACATGTTTTTAGCTCAAACCAAATGACATGTTATTAATGTGCAAAGAGATTTCTATTAGCCAGTCAAGGCGTTTTGTTTTGTTTTTTGTTTTTGTTTTTGAGATGGAGTCTTGCTCTGTCGCCCAGAGCAGTGGTGTGATCTCGGCTCACTGCAACCTCTGCTGCCCAGGTTCAAGCAATTCTCCTGTTTCAGCCTCCCGAATAGCTGGGACTACAGGAGTGCGCCACCACGCCCGGCTAATTTTTGTATTTTTAGTAGAGAAGGGGTTTCACGATATTGGTCAGGCTGGTCTCGAATTCCTGACCTCAGGTGATCCACCTGCCGCAGCCTCCCAAAGTGCCGGGATTATAGGCGTGAACCACCGTGCCCGGTCTTGTTTTGTATTTTTTAAGATGGAATCTCACTCTGTTGCCCAGGCTGGAGTGCAGTAGCTCCATCTCGGCCCACTGCAACCTCTGCCACCCTGGTTCAAGCAATTCTCCTGCCTCAGTCTCCCGAGTAGCTAGGATTACAGGCGCCTGCCACCTTGCCTGCTAATTTTTGTATTTTTAGTACGGACGGGGTTTCACCGTCTTGGCCAGGCTGGTCTTCAACCCCTGACCCCGTGATCCACCCATCTCAGCCTCCTAAAGTGCTGGGATTACAGGTGTGAGCCACTGCCCCCAGTCTACTATTTTTTTTTTTTTTTTGAGATGGAGTCTTGCTCTGTCGCCCAGGCTGGAGTGCAGTGGCCGGATCTCAGCTCACTGCAAGCTCCACCTCCCGGGTTTACGCCATTCTCCTGGCTCAGCCTCCAGAGTAGCTGGGACTACAGGCGCCCGCCACCTCGCCCGGCTAGTTTTTTGTACTTTTTAGTAGAGACGGGGTTTCACCGTGTTAGCCAGGATGGTCTCGATCTCCTGACCTCGTGATCCGCCCGTCTCGGCCTCCCAAAGTGCTGGGATTACAAGCTTGAGCCACCGCGCCCGGCCAAGTCAGGGCTTTTATAGCTAAGATGCCTACTACCTAAAACCATTTAAGCAACTTGGGCTCCTGCAAAGAAGGATGGTGAGAAGAATGGTCGTTATGCCATCAACTAGGTGGTGACCCAGGAGTACACCGTTAATATTCACAAGTGTATCCATGGAGTGGGCTTCAAGAAGTGTGCCCCTCAGGCTCTTAAAGAGACCGGAAATTTGCTACAAAGGAGATGGAAAACTCCAGATACATGCACTGATACCAGGCTCAACAAAGCTGTCTGGGCCAAAGTAGTAAGGAATGTCCATACTGTGTCCATGTACAGTGGGTGGTCCAGAAAACATAATGAGGTCAGAAATTCACCAAACAAGCTCTATACTTTGGTTATGTACTTGTTACCACTTTCACAAATCTACAGTTATGTGGATGTGAACTAACTGCTGATCATCAAATACATCAAATAAGTTATAAAAACTACAAAAAAAAAAAAAAAGGTTTAATACCTGTCTTCACTTTACATTCTCTGTGTTCAAAGCATTAAAGTCCTACAAATGTCATGTTAAAATGATTAATGGGAATCATTAACCCAAACTGGTTTCCAATTTTATGAAAAACAGTACAGATCACTGAATACCAGGTTGAGATGCTAGCTACTGGATCCAAATTCCCCATCATCTTTTTTCATGACCTTTTCCCTTATTAATAATGTTTATATTTCTTTATATTTACCCTCTAGATAACTTGGGGAATTCAGGGGTGGGGCACGGTAGCTCACGCCTGTAATCCCAGCACTTTGGGAGGCCGAGATGGGCGGATCACGAGGTCAGGAGATCGAGACCATCCTGGCGAACACGGTGAAACCCCGTCTCTACTAAAAAGTACAAAAAAAAAAAACTAGCCGGGCGAGGTGGCGGGTGCCTGTAGTCCCAGCTACTGGGGAGGCTGAGGCAGGAGAATGGCGTGAACCCGGGAGGCGGAGCTTGCAGTGAGCTGAGATCCGGCCACTGCACTCCAGCCTGGGCGACAGAGCGAGACTCCGTCTCAAAAAAAATAAATAAATAAAAATTAGCCAGGCCTGGTGGCACGAGCCTGTGGTCCTATACTTGGAGGCTGAGGTAGGAGGATCTCTTGAGCCTGGGAGGTGGAGGTTGCAATGAGCTGAGATCATGCCACTGCACTCTAACCTGGGTGATAAGAGTGAGACTCCATCTCAAAAATTAAAAATAAAAATTCGAGGCAGGAATGCAACAGAAACCAAATCTCATAAAGTGCTCACATTTTAATAAAAGAGATATAACAAATGAACAAAAGTCCATTAAAATGTTAGAGGAAAAAACCCAATAGGATGTGTTACTAACTAGAAGGGGAGAAGGGATTTGGAGTGGTTAGGAGAGCCCTTTCCCAGAAGATAAGCTGAGACCTGTGCCAAGAGGGAGGCAGCCATGCAAATACTGAGAGGCAGGAAAAAACGAAGGGCCAGTGCAAAGATCTAGAGAGGGAAAGAACTTGTCTTGCTGGAGACGCAGTCAAGGTAGCCAAGGAGGGTGCTGAGAAGAGTATGTCTGAGTGAGCAGGCAGGGACTCTATGGAGTAGGGGCTCAAAGGCGATGATTAGGCCAGGCGCGGTAGCTCACGCCTATAATCCCAGCACTTTGGAAGGCCGAGGTGGGTGGATCACGAGGTCAGGAGTTCAAGACCAGCCTGGCCAAAACGGTGAAACCCCGTCCCCGTCTCTACTAAAAATACAAAAAAAAATAGCCGGGCGTGGTGTCAGGCGCCTGTAATCCCAGCTACTCGGGAGGCTGAGGAAGATAATTGTTTGAACACGGGAGGCGGAGCTTGCAGTGAGCCGAGATCGCGCCACTGCACTCCAGTCTGGGCAACAGAGCGAGACTCCGTCTCAAGAAAAAAAAACACAAAGGCGATGATGAGCAGTTTGGGCTTTGTTTCTACTTACACTAGGACGACACGAGCGAGAGCATCCGTAATGAACAAGGGGAAGAGTGAAGTCACTGACTCGCGAGAGGTGACCGTGGGCAAGTTCCTGAATCTCGCTAACGCTCTTTAACCCCCTGGAAAATTGTTCGCTAATCGTCACATTAAACGGCTGCGAACGGGCCACGCTCAAGGCTTCGGGGCTGCAGCCTCGAGTTTACCTGTCCTCCAGGACCGACTCCATGGGCTCCACCCCGTCAGTGTCCACGGCACGTAGCCGGTCGGCGAAGGCGATAGCTTTCTCCAGTCGCGCCACTGCCTCGCGGCTGCCGAAGTCCACAAGCGCTAGACGCTCCAGGTGCTCGATCACCTGGGCCGTGATCCGGCCACTGCCCTGGAGGAGGAATGAGGCAGGGAGTGTGGGTCACCGGCGCCCTGGTGTGCCTCCCGGCTTGCTCCGCCACCCGCCTAGATGGCCCTGGCCTTTACCTGAGGATCCGCCTTGGAGGTGAAGCCCTGGCGCCCGCCCAGAGGGGCCCGAAGGCCCAGCCACACCAACCGCGACCACATTTCTTCCTTCCTTGGCCCCCGTAGTGCGCCCGCGCGTAACGCCCAGCGACGCGCCTAAGAGTGATGACATCAGAGTGCGCTGCCGCCGCCGCCGACACCACTGTCGCCATGAACAGTGTGGGGGAGGCATGCACGGACATGAAGCGCGAATACGACCAGTGCTTCAATCGCTGGTTCGCCGAGAAGTTTCTCAAGGGGGACAGCTCCGGGGACCCGTGCACCGACCTCTTCAAGCGCTACCAGCAGTGTGTTCAGGTGAGCCCTTCCGCCTCTGTTTCCAGGCCCCGCATTCTCCGCGCTGTGTCCCACTACACTCGTCGTGTTTTATGGGGGTTGGGACTGGACTGGAAGGGTGGAGAAAAGCCGCAGTGAGGTCAGTGGCAGGAGCTCGCTCCCCTATCATCACCACCGAGGCCGTTTGGGTGTCTCCCCGAATGACAAATATTGGTGCAGTGCTTTTAAGACACACAGCCACATCTTTTGGTTCATTTGGTGTTCATCCTAAACTCGCAAGGTGGGCATAGTTACTCATATTTTATACATAAAAAACTAACACCCAGAAATAGGAAGTGATTGATCCGAGTTCACTAGCACCAGGTTGCCTTGATTCTTTCGCAGGTGGTGCACTTTTCCACTATTACAGCTGAGGTCTGGGCGGGGTTATACTTCAGACTGGACGATCACATTATTTTGATGTTATAAACCCTTCGTTAGCCTGTTTATCTCTCTTGACCAGTCCCCGCAACTGCAACTAGGAAATGTTTATTCTGGCCCAATGGATGTGGAACTGCTTTGAATTGTTAGAACAGCACTGGGCAAAGCACTTCCAATAAGTTAACCCAACACATCCTCACAGCAGTTCCCCGAGGTAGTTGCTGTCTTCATCCCATTTAGTTGGTCACATAGCCAGTAAGTCTTTCACCAACACAAAGTGATGATTATTTTTCAAATTTCACTTAATTTTAATGGTTCCCTCACAACTCCTTTTCCAGTCTCCCTCAGGTCTTACACTTGATTTATTCATTATGGTACTTTTGGTTTTTATTTATTTTTGAGGCAGAGTCTCACTGTCTTCCAGGCTGGAGTGCAATGGCACAATCTCAGCTCACTGGCAACCTCTGCCTCCCAGGTTCAAGCTATTCTCATGCCTCAGCCACCAGAGTAGCTGGAATTACAGGCATGCACCCCCATGCCCAGCTAATTTTTGTATTTTTAGTATAATCAGGGTTTCGCCATGTTGGCCAGGTTGGTCTCTAACTTCTGGCCTCAAGTGATCCACCTGCCTTGGTCTCCCAAAATGCTGCGATTATAGACCTGAGCCACCACACCCTACTGGTACTTGTTTTTTAAAAAGTATGTGGTTTGAATCATGGTTATAAGTCTTTATAATAGCTTGATTTTACTTTTGTGCTGTCATATTTTATTTACAAAGTTTGCAAGTTGAGCTTCATATCGATCCTTATAATGTGTTTTCTCCTCCTACCAGAAAGCAATAAAGGAGAAAGAGATTCCTATTGAAGGATTGGAATTCATGGGCCATGGCAAAGAAAAGTCTGAAAATTCTTCTTGACCTTGACAGTCACCTTGAAGGATTTCTCAATCCAGAAATTGAGGACTCTGGATTTTTGTCAACTAAATCTGTGAACCTAGCCATCAGATTTGATAAGGAACTTAGGAGAGAGGAGTTTTATTTCCCCCTTTGATGTTTTCCTCTCAGTTGTAAAAGATGAACTCTTTGAGATGATTTCTTACCTGCTGTGGCATCTGGCAGGAACTCAGTGTGCTAAAATTGAACAATTTTTTGAGATTATGGTTGCAATACTTGGTGTGGAATCAGCTTTACATAAATATACCTTGTATGCAAACGATGATAAACTAGTCAGGATGAGCAGAGCTGCCTGACCTCTTGATTTCTGCTGCGAAAAACATATACACTGTACTGGGGTCATCGTTCATGAAAGCAATTGGTTAAGACCTCTTTTTTTCTCTCAGGGAACTAATGCTCTGAAAAAGGATCTGGGCACAACAGTTTCAGTGAGTGCTTTTGAACACACTTTTATTTTTATATAGTAACTAATGGTTAAGATTGCTGGTGGCCTGGATTAGCAAAGAGGAAGACAGCTTTTAACACAGTTCCCTGCCTTCACCAGAGGTGTCAGATTAAGATGTGAAAGCTGCAAGAATGTTGCAATGACCACCATTTCAGAGCTCTCAGTGTGTAGTTCAGGAATTAAGATACTTGGAATAGCTATGGAGGAAGAACCTAAATTGCAAAGATCTGCTATTGCCAGCTTTCAACCCAAGTCAGTGAATTGTCAACCTGCATATCCTTAAAATGCTGCATCTGGTTAAATGGTGGGTGGGTGGGGTGGGAAGCTAAAGGTGCTGGCTTTATTTGCCTTGTTTACTCATCCTGCCCTGTAATTTCTGTAATCCTGAAGATGGAATAAATTGTAACATTTAGTTTCTATCATTATTTGCCTCTGGAACTCAATGCATTTTATGGAACTATTACCCTGTTACCCTACAAACCTCATGTATACACCAGAGAGAGTTTTGTAACTTAACAGTGAAGAAAAAGTGACTTGTCTAAGCTAGGTGGTACAGTATGGCAATCAGAAACCTCACTGATTTTTTTTTTTTGAGACAGTCTGGCTCTGTCGCCCAGGCGGGAGTGCAGTGGTGCAATCTCAGCTTACTGCAACCTCCACCTCCTGGGTTCCAATGATTTTCCTGCCTCAGCCTCCCGAGTAGCTGGGATTACAGGCGTGCACCACAATGCCCAGCTAATTTTTATATTTTTAGTAGAGATGGGGTTTCACCATATTGGCCAGGCTGGTCTTGAACTCTTAACCTCAGGTGATGTGCCAGTCTTGACATCCCAAAGTGCTGGGATTACAGGTGTGAGCCACTGCACCCAGTCAAAACCTCACTGATTTCTAAAATTGCCACAACATGCTACACAAATACAATATGGTACCAAAAAAGGATCAGGAGAGCACTTACATACCTCAGAATGTCACGGAATCCCCACAATTACTTGAGTAATTTGGTTTTATTATATGCCCAAAGAAGGATGAAACTTGAATTACAGGCCGGGTATGGTGGCTCATGACTGTAACACTTTGGAAAGTGAGATGGGCCGATCACTTGAACTCAGGAATTCGAGACCAGCCTGGGTAACATGGCGAAACCCCATCTCTACAAAAAAATTAGCGGGGTATGGTGGTGTGGGCCTGTAGTCCCAGCTACTCGAAAGGCTGAGGTGGGAGCATCACCTGAGCCTGGGAGGTAGAGACTGCAGGGGGCTGTGACTGTGCCACTGCACTCCAGGCTGGTTGACAGAGCAAGACCCTGTCTCAAAAATAAACCAAGAAACTTGATTTATAGAAGGCCCTAATTCTATTGTCTTGTCTCCACTTTACCAGTCGCTACATCATATTTAATGTGACTTGTCCGTAATGTCACTTCAAAACATTCTTCATTTATATTTTATGACTGGCTAGGGTCCATTATCCAAGGATTATAAAAGATGTTTGGAACTTAGCCAAGGGAGGCCAGGCAGCAAGCTGAAGTATAATACATCTGTCCTAAACTCAGACTGGCCACAACCAAAACAGCCCTATAGGGACTCAGAAGTACAGGCTGTTATATCACAAAATGGGAAAGATAATGAGATTCTATTCTGTACGGTATATGCCTTAGTTTTGCATTACCAGTTTAATGTAATACAACATGAAATACCTCGTTGCCTCTTGAACCTTACCACAAAAGTGTTCCTTTGAGCCTTAAGAATAAACCAACTGGCCGGGCGTGGTAGCTCACGCCTGTAATCCCAGCACTTTGGGAGGCTGAGGTGGACGGATCACCTGATGTTGGGAGTTTGAGGCTAGCCTGGCCAACATAGAAAAACCCTGTCTCTACTTAAAATACAAAAAATTAGCCAGGTGTGGTGGTACATGCTTGTAATCCCAGCTACTCAGGAGGATGAGACAGGAGAATTGCTTGAACCTGGGAGGTGGAGGTTGTGGTGAGCCAAGATCATGCCATTGCACTCCAGCCTGGGCAACAAGAGCGAAACTCTTGTCTCAAACAAACAAACAAAAAAAGAATAAACCAGCTCTGGCCAGGCACAGTGGCTCAGACCTGTAATCCCAGCAGTTTGGGAGGCTGAGGTGAGCAGATCACCTGAGGTTAGGAGTTCAAGACCAGCCCGGCCAACATGCGAAACCTTGTCTCTACTAAAAACACACAAAAAATTAGCTGGGCGTGGTGGCGCATGCCTGTAGTCCCAGCTATTTGGGAGGCTGAGGCAGGAGAATCGCTTCAACCTGGGAGAAGGTTGCAGTGAACTGAGATCGTGCCACTGCACTGTAGTCTGGGCAATAGAGTGAGACTCCGTCTCAAAAAAATAAAAAAGGTTTTATGTTTTGAGACGGAGTCTCACTCTGTCTCCAGGCTGGAGTGTAGTAGAGCGATCTGGGCTCACTGCAACCTCCGCTTCCTGGGACTACAGATGCGTGCCACCACACCCAGCTAATTTTTGTATTTTCAATAGAAATGGGGTTTTACCATGTTGTCCAGGATGGTCTTGATCTCTTGACCTCATGATCTGCCCACCTTGGCCTCCCAAAGTGCTACGATTACAGGTGTGAGTCACCGTACCCGCCTAAATTAAAGGTTTTAAATTTTGATTGCAATTAATTGCCCTCTCAGAGTGGTTTTGTAACTACTACTACTGCCATTTACTATCCATTAAAACAGGATAGTTTTAATTCCAGAAAAAAGTCAATAAGCAGAAATGTGTCACACTCCCTTTATTTCTCTTAAGATTTCTGACCCTACCAGCCCTGAAGGAGATGACCTCAAGGTAAGAACTTGACATGTTTGAGAAAATTATGACTACAGGGAAGATTCTGCAGTAAATGCTAGTGGAGTGGGACAGGAAAAAGATGAGACCCAGATCAAGCACTTCCTCTTGAGAAACACAAGTACCTCTTTCAGGTGTAAAATGCAGCCATTCTGCTAACCATTCAATGTCTTTGAAATCTCAGGCTTGTCA